AGGAACACGCTTTGCTGGCGGCGAAAATAATCCCACCAGACTCCTTTGCCCCTCCAACAGCGGGATGTCCTTGTCCTTTTTCCTTTTCGTCATTTCAAGTGATAAAAACTTGATCTTCTCTCGAATTATTAATATTTTTGGACGCCCTCGGCTCACGTTCAGGGCGGCCCGAGCTGAATAAGGGCGTCAAATGACGGCCAGACGCCCCCTTGGCGGAAAGTGTTTGTGTGCAGTTGAAGGAACTGGCAGCATGTGTGTGTATGAGGTAAAGACTCACAGTAGGAATACGATTAATTTATCCATCTATCAGCAGGATCTTATCTGAAAGATCCATTTGATGCAGTTTGAATCCAGGTTACAGAGCAAAATATAGTTGTCAGTTGATTACATAAATCGTTTTAAAAAACAAACTTATTTTCAACACCTGGGTGCTAATCTGCCTATTTTAGTGAAAAATGAAGCACAAAAATGATAGTAAATTGGTCAATTTCAGTTTTCTTTTCAACAACTTCCATGTCAGGTGACTCAAAACTCCTAATCAATACAGAGGGGCATTACTACACTTGAATAGGTAGACCCTTCTTTTTATTGGCTTTGTAATGTTTTTTCAGGGTTTTAACAGTGCATTATTTTAAATAAGACACTAAAATTACATAATATCTGTCTCTTCATTAGTTGTTTAAAATTCATTATGCCTCTGGTATCTCACTGCTGTGCTGAGCTTTTAGTTTTGTTTTTTTGTGACCTTAAAAGTGGTTTGGTCTTTGAGTGTCCACAGCTTCTTGGCTCTCCAGGCCATGACTACATTTAAATAAACATCCCTACTTTGGGATTTCATGCCCAGCCTGGTTTAGATCATGTCATTTTTTGAAACCCTGCAAATCTACATTTTGAACTGAAATGATTTTCCTCCTGAAGCAAGCTTCAGCTAGCGAGAGCGCGCTCGTGAACCGTTGCGCCGGTGCTGAATGCCCACCGAGATATGCATGCACCTTCGTGGGAGCGCACACAGCGTAAAGCAAAAACTCCCAGACATTTCAATGATTTGTACGGCAAAGTTAGGTTTGGAAACTAAAACTATATCATTTCCTTTTTGGAGGGCATGCATAACACGGCATAACACAGGAGCCTCGCTGCGGGGAAACTTTTGTGCATTCCGAGTTTGTTCTAATCCCTCAAAATGACAGACTGCTTTCAGATTTTTCCATCATTGTTAAAAAATTTACGGAAAATATTCGGTGCGAACACTGCCTCCGGGCGACGTCTGGGTCTACGTCAACCCTAAAGTGTAGGTGCTGTGGACGCTAAATACCAATCCTACAACAGCAACGATGAAAGATTGTAGCCAAGGGAACAGAGCTCAGAAGATGGCTCTTGTAACACACACACACACACACACACACACACACACACACACACACACACACACACACACACACACACACACACACACACACACTTTCACGGTTAGGCAGTTCTTTTTTTCTGGTTTATGGCTAACACAGTTCTGTGTGCTGTTATGTTCAGTCATCTTTCTTATGTTGAACGTGAATATATTTACTTTGTGATTTTAATTATTGGACGTATTTCTTCTTTCATAGCAATTTTCCTTCATACTTTCTTGCTGTGAAATAGGTCTTAAATTCTATTCAAAGTTGTCTTAAAAAGTCTTAAATGTGAGTTGGTGACTTTTTTTTTTGGTCACTTTTCCGATGACTTTCTGTTATTTTAATGGAATGAACAACTGTATCGCAATGCCAAACTCAGAGGCTGAATGTTTAGTTCTGTGTTTATTTCCTGCATGTGTGAAATTGTAGTTCCAAGCTGTAATTAGAGTCACAACAACAAAGATGAATGTGGAACGGAACATGGCCGACATGGCGTGCTATCCGGTTGCCTTATGTATGCCAAGGCCAAAGTTAACTGAAAATATCAGGGCCTTAATGTCATGGTTTTTTGTGCAAAAAAGCTTTTACGATTCTTGGCTGTACGACGGCTTTTGACTCAATTTGTGGCCTAATGAAATTTAACTTGGCTTGTGTCAGATCGCCGTCCCCAGCTTTTGCATAAGGCAGAATTTGGATGCCAGTTCAGAAATATAAAGGAGCCCATAAACAGTTTTTTCCTTTTTTAATATCTTCCATTTGTTCTAATGAGCTTTTGATTACAGTTAATGGAAACAAGCCACAATCGCATATTTCTATTCTGTATTTAAATGTTTTTATAATCATAAAATCAGTCATGGCAGGAAAACAGTTGAGTGTACTCTTACACTAAATGACTAAAGAATTAGCTGAAACAAGAACCAGAAGCCTCTTGACCTTGAGCACTGAAGTCAAACAGTCAATGAATTTAAATGCATTACGACACCAGTACTGCGGCTCTTGCTTTAATCGTTATCAAGCAGATCCGGTAACAAGCAGAATATAAACAGAAGATTTAACATCAGGGTTATCTCCGTCTTACAGGAGCTGGCTGTCATCCCAGATCTGACGGGAGAAAATGGCGGGTATCTGTTAAAGGACTGGAACTTCATCCAGGTTTCTGTAAGTCCACATTTCAAGCACAACTTTCCAGAGAAATTAAAACTTGTCTGTAGAAATATTCATGATCTTTTCCTGCCAAACAAGGGTCTACGTTTTCTAAAAGCTTCTAGCAGACCTTGTTATCTTGCAGGTCATCGTGGAGAAAAATGTAATCTTTGCTCCAACATTTCTTATCTTCTCAATTTCCTTGGTCTCCAGGTCAATCGTTCTTGCCTGTCTGAGGTGGAGGCTTTACTGACAGCTCTGGAGGCAGCGAAACAGGCTCTCCTCCACCCGCTAGTCGTTATTTTGGTAAGTCCGCACACTGACACTCAATTCATGTTTTTACAGAAAATACTTCAAGGGTATCTAAAATTACATAAATTGCCTCACTGGCAACTCTGTAAGGCTGAGACATGATCATTAGTACCAAATGTCATGGCAATTGATACAAATATTGTTGGTTCCTCTCAGAACCACATATGTGACCCTCATGGTGGCTTTTGAGGAAGGGTCAAGGCATCAGTAGAATGTGCGATGAATAACAATTTATCCAAATTGTTGTTGAGCTTTTCCAATTTGGACCAAAGTGATAAACAGATAGTCATTGCAATCATTAGAGCCAATAGACTACCTTAGATTTGAAGGACAGATATTTAAAGCAGTGAAGAAGAATAAATGCATATATTTGAGTAATTACAGGAACTATGCTTTATCCACTGCACAGGAACTTATAAGGAGTACAGGATCACATGGAGGCGTGTGGTGCAGTGGGTTGTGCGTTGGTGTTCGGATCAAGGGGTCACAGGTTCAAACCCCACTGCAGTCAGCATGTCGTTGTGTCCCTGGGCAAGACACTTCACCCCAAATTGCTCCTGTGGGGATTGTCCACAGTATTGAGTATGCAAGTCGCTTTGGATAAAAGCGTCTAACAAGTAACATGTAATGTAATCATCATGTTGCCAGAACAAACAAAACTGGGTAAATCCTACTTATTACTTGTTTTTCTTCTCTTCACTTGAAAAGGTATATAGATGAACAATAGAAAGTCTAACAACATTGTTCAAAACACATTCAGTTTTCACAGTCATTCTGGTCTAACTTTTATAAAAGGACTTATTTTACAGTTTATTGAATATAAGCCCTATAATAAATCATTAGCATGAGCAACTGCAGAAGAAATGCATCTGTGTTATAATGAAAAACTAAGTACACACTCAAGTTCTTGTTGGACCATTCATCCTAGCATATACATTTTCAGTCTTGCAAAGCTAACCTGTTAAGAGGCGAATTTACTTATAAATGCTTAGATTAACAAGTTTGATATTTTTTGTTTCCTGCCTTCCTATCCTCCAACGTGTTTAAAGGGCTACTGCGGGTCTGTGTTATTTCTAAGAGGCAGAGTAAAACATGTATCAGTATCATTTCCCACACTATGAATGAACTTTTCTTTTCATGTTGTGAATACAGACATCTGGCGCAGAACAGATTCAGTTTCTTTAAGAATCATGTACTACACAGGGAACCAAACCTTGTGTTTTTTTTTCTCCGCTTGTAAAAACGTCACCTGTAGTCCACCTCGGGTCCCCTGATGAGCTCTTTAGCTGTTTGGAAACCCAACACCTCCCAGGAGAGCGCTGCAACTCGCCTCGCTCACTGTTGGCCCGCTAACAGAGCAACACTGACCTCAGCGCTCACACAGAGCAAAGCCTAAAACAACTGATCAAATCCGATCCAAGAATCATCTAAATATTTGTAAAAGACCTGTTAATCCACTTTTTTTTATTTGGTAAATTGAACCTCTTTGGCTAACACACAGAACAAGGGCCAAAACTACGGCAGGTAATAAGAAGAAAATATACGTACAGATCGCTACCAACAAAACTAAAGTCTAAATCACTGAAAATGTCACGCTGCATTACCTAACTGGAACCCCCGCTTGTATTTGTTGTAACACGTTTTCACTTCAGATGGAAACACACACACACACACACACACACACACACACACACACACACACACACACACACACACACACACACACACACACACACACACACACACACACACACACACTGAAGCTGGGTTTAAGTGGGATTGACTCCTTACAAAAGCATGTCACACAATTCCCACTGTCAACATGTTTCTATTCTCTATGACTTTGTTAAATTTAGATTGTCTATATTTGTCTTCTATTAAATTCCACAACGTTCAAAATTGTTTTTCTTCAGTATCATCATATTTTAGTTCTCTTGTTCTCCGCTCCACTCAATTTTGGTCTATTCTATTCAATTCTATGTAATCCTGCTACTGATATATTCTTCGTCTATTAATCTTTTCTGTTCTACTTTAATAAAGTCCACTCATATTGTGTTCGGTTCTATGCTACTCCTTAATTCCTGTCAAATTAGTTTTAGTTAAAACAAATTACAGCTGAAATTATTGATCAATCAATCGACAGAAACTAACAGCAATTTTGTTAGAATTCAAAAGTAATTTAAACCAAACAGATTCTTAAATGTGAGGTTTTTTATTCTCTGAGTATATTGAATAAATGTTGCCCTTTGAATGTTTGTTGACTGACTTTGTATAATGTTGAGGAAATAATGGATAATAAAAACATTCATTAGTTGCAGCCCCACAAAGACTTTATTAAAAGCTACCATGTCTGTAACGTTTAACACAAAAAGCATTTAAAGGACAATGATCCATTACTATAACAGATCACACAGATGTTACTTTCCCCTCCCGTTATAAACTGATTTCATGGTCACGTCAGAATGTGTGTGAACTGTCTGGGAAAGTTGTGACTAAACGTGAAGCAGCCTCTTGAGTTTCACGGTTATAAGTGATGAAGCTTAGCTCAGCACCAACGTGTTTTTCTTACCTTTGTTTTTGCAGGCGGCTGTTGTTAGGTTGCACACACTCCCCGTTATTTATCACAGCTTTGATCACATGGTAGTAATCAGTGGCAGGATAATTGAGTTTGAAGTGTAGGTGGTAGCCTCGAGGGCAGAGAGGCAGACTGCGTGGTGGAGGTCACCGTTTCAATCCGTCTGTGAATTTGAGGTGCTATAGCCTTGAGCATTGTATTCAAAGACAGAGCCCCATGTTGTTGATATTAGCACCTTATGTCTCATGTTGTTACTTTCATAAATATATGATTGATGTTGGTTCCAGGAGTTTTTTGTGTTATGTAGTAGACACTTTTCTCTTAGTAATTGGCGGTTAAAATCACATGTCGGGAGACCTCAAACATATTCCTGGATAACAGTTAAACCCCTTGGCAACAATTCTTAAGATTTACACCACGTTGGCATTTAATTTGAAAAAGGAGCTACGTTTTTTTATGGGCACAAACATCTTTCAGTTCTAAATTTGTGCGAAACCAAAAACGTTTTGCTTTATACTTTTTGCTTTTAAGTGTTCAAACCATCATTGTTGTTGTTCATTGCGAGGACAGCTATTAACTGCCAGAATAAAGAGGAGGTGATAGCACCATTTTATATCAAATCAAAAATAACCACTTATTGACCTGCCTTGCATTCTTCCACTGACGTTTGTGGCCATCACCTACTTGCAACCACAGTGGTTATTAAGCAACCACTTAGTATTAATCAGGGTATTACAGATAGCACCTGCAGCTCTCCTATAACAAATAGAATAGACATTTCTTGTTGATGCATTTCATTCTGGTCTTTTGAGCTTACTGACAGAAGTACGTTTATTATATCCTTCTGCGGTGGACGTCCTTTGAGGCTATAAAAAGCAATCAGGCTCCACTTAGGATCGAATAACTCCACTCGTGATGAAAAAGACTGCTCATGTTTTAGATCACCCAAAACCTTAACTCTCTAGTCTTTTCTTAATGGGATTTTGTCGTTGTAAATGGCAATATAATGTATGTAATGTATAAAGTATTTTACATCTGAAGTATAAGGTTTACAAAGTAGAGATCTCTCTCTTGACAGCCCCATAGACCCAGCCAGTGGCCAAAGGTAGACATGAGTTCAACATGTTATTGTGTAACTGAATGAAGCTTCAGTAAATAATTTATCTTTTTTTTTTAAAAAACCTTTTCGTTTTTAAGAAAGTTACCAAAATGAAAGACACACTTTGCTTAATTAATTCATGCCAAAGTGTTTTCAGATGTGTGGCAGTTTCTATTTTGGAACATATTTATTCATATTGTTAGCATAAACATCACTGTGAGGGTTTCAGTCCCCTCATGAACTTCTGGCCTGGAGGTTTACTAGCTGCTAATGTGCTGAATAATCACTCTTCAAATTGAACCAGATGACAGCAAGCACCTGATTGATACTCGAGTATAAATGTAGTAATTGCTCAATTAGAGCAGGCGTCTTGACACAATTCAACCGATTATCATAACTATAAACACGTCTCACTGCCGCAGTTTGTAAGGATATATGACAAATGAATGGCAATGAATACATCTTGGTTCAAGTTTCTGTCAAGGGAAGGGTTATGGTAATTAGCTAAGATTGGCATTAGGGATGACACAGTAATGTGAAACAATGTGTCTGGATTATGCTCCTCTAATTGGACAGAAAAACCCAGAGGCCCTGAAGATTTACAGCTTAATAAGAGAATCATTATATCTGGAGACAGGACTGTACATCAACCAACCTCTGTTTACTCTCACATCACAGATCCAAGATCTTCCCTGAGCACATCCTTAAAAATCAGGCCAGTTGAGTTGCAACATGTTGAAACGCCTGCTTGAACAATGAGCTGTTATTGCTCCCAAAAAAGTAAGAGATCACATTTTCTGATTTGGCACCGTTTCTTCTGTTTTGATAGGTGCTATTGAGTGGTTCAGATGAGCTGTCCGTCAGTGGGAGAGCGGTGGAGCCAGAAGCTATCATGGACCTGGCCTCAGCAGCAAAGCTCCGAAATATTCTTCTCTATGGCATCCAGCTTCATCAGTCAACGGTAAGCTCTTAATCTTTCCCCTTCTTTCTTTATGTTTTCCTGAAGTGAGCCCAGAGTTCCTGCGCTGTGAATACATATCTAAGAGAGGCCAAACCAAACAGAATGGAAAACGTCTTTAGGTGTCTTGTTCCAGTGTCATGCTTTTATGCTTAAGGCGAGGTTTCTGTCTTTTATCACATCTTTATACAGTATGTGATTGTGCACACTCACTTGGATGGGTGTGTCTTTTTTATGTGGCAACAGGAATAAATGTTTGTCCACTATTGTGATAAAGGATATCAACTTTTCACCTTCCGCTTTGTGTTTTTTTTTCAACGCCACAGGGATGAAAAGGCTGCAGAGGTGCTTCAGGTGTAAAGCAGATTAATGACTGATCTGTAATTTGAACCTCCACAGTTAAGCTGTGTGTAAAGTGAATCTTCTGCAATGCCTGCCATGTTTGCACAGGAGTCATCAAGGTGGACGCGGTTGAGCTGAAATCCATATAGCTGCTTAGTAAATGTAGGATTATATAAGGTGAACTTATTGATCCAGCACAGTGAGATATGTCAGGATTCATGCTACCAAAGCCGTCAAATTACAACATCAGTGCCAGATGTGCAGGGTTAACCAAAGACAAATGCTGAATATTCATGGTGATGTTGGCCTTAAATATGACATTCATCCTGATTTATGGTCAGGACTGACACAGCAATGTGATAAATTAGGTTTGTTGGCAGGCTCATGGCTTCACAAATCAATTTGTAAAAACCTCTGTAGGGATATCTGAGCAGTTCTGCTTTATTCCCTCCTGCTAAAGAGAACGGTGAGGCTGAAGGATGAGGCCTGGTCTTCTGTGGTCAGTTCGCATTGTTCGTCTTGGGGCCTTGACATCACAGTGATGCCTAATTAAAACAAGATGCTTTCATATTCTTGAGCAACACATGAGATACGCTGCTGGGCCACATGTGAGGTTGATTCCCCTATCAGATGTTGGACATCATGGTTTTTCCATTGAATTATAGAACTGATGCTGTTAATTTGTCATCCTGCCTCAAAAGAGAAAAGGGGAAGGGAGTGAACGGAGATAATGCGTGTTTCAACATGACAAAATGCTTATCGCTGTGAGATAGTGGAACAGAAGAATACAGCCTTGTATAAATCATTGTTAGCTTTTTCGTTATAATGAGGATAATTCTACCCAGATGGCCTTATTCATACTTCCAGAGGTGCCTGCCAACACTGCGCCTGTCAGCCATACAGTAGAAATGAATATTGCACATCAATTCTCAGTTAGTTTTATTTATATTGCCTTAATACAAAATATCTGAGGGCAGACAATAATGCACACATACTGTCGTGAACATGTTCAGGCAATCACTTTGATTATTGAAAGATGAATACATCTGCATGGATTGCTTAAAAACTGATATTTGTTGTACTCTGTGATTTTTGATTTCATTATCACATGAAATACAGCCCTATGAAAACACATTTTAAATAATGGCAAACATTATTAAATAGTCTGCCATAGAACTGAGCGTCGGGCATAACTCAAGCATCTTTGCCATGAAATTAAACACTTGTAACATCCAGAGGGATTATGTCCTTTTCAGAATGGTAGCTCACTTGAGTTGTTTGGCCCACAACAAAACAGCCTGCAATACATTTTCTGTTCCCTGCAAAGAAAGAAATCAAAAAAATATCTTAGCAAGGAAAAACACTGAAAGCATTACATTCTGCTGCTGTTTCCAACATGTGTTCTTCCTGTGACATTCGACAGTGTACATTGTGCATACCACTGCTGCACAATATCAATGTACCAATTTACTATATCCCATTTACTCAATTCATATTTATAAGATTTTGCCTTAAATGCAGTTTTAAAAAGTGTTTTTTCATCTTAAACAAGTTGTAAGTGAATTTCTTTCATGTGGCTTTGTGCACGTGTGTGTGTACAGATTTAAATTGAAAAAGACCAAACTCTATTGCTGTCTCCATACAGTACTGTACAAAGCGGCTCCATGGTCCACGACAATGTTGTGGTTTATCATGTTATCCAACATCGACCAAACAGGTGCAATCAAGTCAGTTTGTCAGTTAAACCTTTTTAAAGATGTATTATTGTAAACAGAGTAATGCCGGATTAAAGGTGAGGTAGGCTATGAACTTTAAAACTAAGTCTCAAAATGACTTCACCACATAACTAACTGTGGAGTTGAGCAGGGTGACGGAGACGCAGAGCAGCATGAGGCAGGGCAACACAACTGTCAGGGAAGTTGGCTAAACTATATTTGAACTGCAGATTTGAACCAAGCGCTGGTACAACCTCCTCTTCTGTTCAGTGTGAATGATTCCTGCCTGACAGCGCTGTCAGCAGCCGTTAGGAGAGGCACTCTGATGTGCGTTAGCTTTTATAACTGTGACCAGGACGTCGCTTTTGCTTTCTCTGACTGTGGACATTTGGTGTTTTCACATCACATAAAAAGCTATTTAAATATGGGCCAGGGAAAACAGTTAGTGTGCCAGTGTCCTGAACTGACACTAACACCAGAGGAGTGAAAAATAATCTTGAGTATTCATATGGATTGTGTTTCAATTCAATTACAATGTGTATGATGCTCTTTCTGAAATGAGGTTTAAAGGGTTTAAAGTCATCACTGTGTAGAAATGAAAAGAACAACCTTTGAGAACATCTTCACTCAGAGGAATTGCTGGATTCACCAACCTTTTTGATATCCAAATGTCCTTATTTCTCTCATACAATTCAAGCCTCTAAAAGTTCAAATGCATGAGCACATGGAATTGTTGTCTTGGTCCCAGAGAGGTTGGGAAAACGTTCCACCTTTTTATCGATGTCTTTTTGGATGAAAAGTGGATTCTCTCAAATGAGGCCTGGCTGTGGTTTCACATTATTCAGACTAACGCTGAACCACTGCTGCACAATACATCCAGCAGCGTGTTGCAGTGCATGCCACTTCACTCCGTACAGAGGAGAGAGTGAAATGGAGTCACGGACAATGAACAGCAGTCTCACTGAAAGGACATGTGATCAAAGCACTTCTCAAGAGCCTTTTTCCGTTTGTGTTGTTACCTCTCTGAGGATGCCTATCAGGTGGGATAATGAGCGAAAACATAAAACCTAAAGAAGTTGGCTGAGGATATACAGACACCGGATCCTCATAAACTGACACGATGTTGTGAATATGTATACGCCATCAGTGTCTGTAGTGGCGATAGGAAATGTCATTTGATCCCTCCTTGCACAGCGTCCTGGCGACTTGTCATCCGCTGAAAAGGGAGTTGTCAAGGTGATATATGGGTGTTGTAATCCCTACAGTGAGAGCCCTGATGTTTACCCAACCCCATATTTCCTCCTCCTCAAAGAGCCCGGTCCGGGAATCCTAAACCTGAGGAGAGATTAGCTGGCCAGGAAGAAAAGAGAGGGAGAGAAAGAAGAGGAGGGAGGGGAAGTAGGAAGAAAAGAGGACTCTATAGGTCTATTCTCCTCCACCTGTTCAGATCTACGTCTGAAAGGCAGACATGTGAAACCGAACACAACCCAGTGAAGCTATTGCTGTGACACACTTGGAGTTGTACCCTCATCGGGTCAAGGGACATCGCCGCTGTGGTTTAAACACACTCCATACTTTTCTCAGGCTTAATCCAACAGTTGTCTTCTTCTGAACTAATGAGTAGTCTTGATCAGCAGGCACAGCTTGAAATGAAAACAAGCAAGGGCCGGAAGGTTGTGCAAAAAGCAATGGCAGAACATTTGATCTGATTCAACACTGATTCATTTCAAGGCGTCACATACAACAAGTCTTAAAGTTAAAAAAATGGACAGAATGATCAGATTGAAGAGTTCACACTAATCTCTGTGAGGAGAAAAGTGAAGGGACATGCATTGTGTCCCATATATCATGCAAATCCATGCAATAGTTTTCTAGACATTCTACTGAAAGTCTCAAATGTCAACCTCATGGTGGTGCCAAAGATATTTGCTAAAACCTTTTGGAGAGATTTCAATGTATAAGTGAAACATCTGACCTGCTGGTGGATCACCAAAGCCAGTATAATTCATCCTTTGTGGACCATGATTATATGTACAACATGTCATAGCAATCCATGGAATAGATTGAAAGTAAATGAACTGACATTTCCATTCCTGGAGCTGGCTAAAAAGAGTGTTAAAGTACGCCAAAGCTTATAAAGTCATAAACAATTAGGTTTGACTGCAAAGTTCCATAACTGAAAGCTGGTCCTTCAGTTGAGTCCCTTTTTAAAATGAATTACACAGTCCTGGAGAAATCCCTAAATGAAGCGCCAAGGGAAAATGATTTCTCCAGAGGTCTTTGTCCACGCTTTCTTCTCACACTATATCTGTCAGTCGACCTACGCAGCTTATCCTGCTCAGGTCCAACTGGGCAGACAGGTGAAACCCAACACATGCAACTGAAGCTTTTGCTGTGACACCCATGTATTCTCACCTTGGCGGGGTCAAGGGAGGTCAGGAGTCCTGCCTTCTCCGCTGTCTCAGCACCCTCCCGACCTTTCTCTGAGTCAATCCAACAATTGTCCGAGGATGAATAAGTTACGGGTGTTATATTTTTTGTGATTAAAGAGTATTAGAACCTTTGACATGGACTGAGAGACTATCATCATTCCAATGTCTAAAAATGAGAAGTTATCTTTTATTATGAGACGAATATGATCACCAAAATTGCTTGCATTGGCTCATTGACTAGATTAGTCTTGGAGCTGAGCGGACACTGTAACTGATAAGGAAAAAACGCTTAACAAAACAAATATTTGACAAGTTCCTTTAGAAAACATTGCAGAAAGCAGCACAGATAAAAAAAAAATGAAATGGAGTTGTTTTGCGTTTTTGGGAGGGCTGACAGATTTGGCTAGTCTTACTATTGATCCACTGCATGTTGCGTCCAACATCCACCCTGAGCCTCCACACAGTTTTCCCCTGCTGTTTGCCTAAGTACTTGTCTTTGGTCTGACAATTATGT